ATTATATCAAAATGACGGTTTAAAGTAGCAAATATTTACAGAATATCATACAAATTTGTATAACCTTCATTGAAAAAATATTAATGATTTTGAACGCATGGATGTGAATCCGAAAATAAATAAATAATTATTGTAATATCGGCTACAAAATTAAAATATCATGATATTGTATGTATGATTGTATATTATGCTTCGTTACATAAAACACTTGATCGTTTAATTTTTTTTTTCATTCTTTGATATTACTTTATTGTTTGTGAAAAATATGGTTAGAGTATATAAAATCTATAATACAGGATATCATATATTATATATAATAAAGGATGTTTTGGTAGACATAGGAGTAAGTAGATATAATGCATATATCTAGAGGCTATGATCTATATACCGATGTATATCCCCTCTGTCGATCCAAACATCATCATAATATCGTCCTATAAAGTTGAAGTTAAAACTTAAAATCATCCCCATTAAAAACAAACTACTCCTATGATGCTTCATCTTGCTATTTACTTGCCAGAAAATACAATTGTTCCTTTTTTATTGCCCTGTCAGTTACTTTATATTTCTATACTATGATTTTAGTTATCAGCGCGCGATTTTCTACGTAACACAATATCATATTCTGGATCTTAAGGTCATTTTGATGTCGCTAGCAGTTCAGTTCGTTCAATAAATGAATATAACTTTTCGCCATTATGACTCAGAAATCCGAAGAAGCAGAATAGTGTTCACAGTCTAAGGAAACCTTTAATATTAGGTTTTTTGAAAACAAAATCATACCGATAAGTATTGACCGGAGCCATGCAAGAAGCATGTTATACATGATCTTTCTAGAACATCATACACCACTTCCGATTTATCCGCGAATATCAAATGGTTAGCACTGTTTTTGTCTTATACCCTTTAAGACCAGGTATGTACAAGTTCTGTCGAGCTCGGTCATCTAAATCGAAATGAACACCCATTTTCTGTTTTGCGGGTATATTTATAAAATGCATGTTTTGAAACATTAAAGGACAACAAATAAACAAATCATTGCCAGTTGAATATTATCGTGCTATAAGAAAAAAAACCCAAACAAACCGAAAAGGGAATAAAAGTTACAGAACCCGGTATTCATCATTCTTGATGCATTATAACCATCGACAAATAAATGAAAACGTTGATCTCACAAGGTGTTATCATCATGCATCATTTAATGAACACAATGCACGATTGACGCTTTCCTGAATGTCTAGCTATGGTAGAGATTGGAATATTAACCAAATTAGCAGATGTATAAATATTATATTCCACCAATTGCTAAAAAACATCATAGTGAAGTTTCATAAATTACCCCCCCCCCCTCCTGTTCATTCTATAAAGACGGAGAAAAGATCATGCTAACAAAATGGATGCTGATCTCCGTGGCAAAATAATAACTGATCATTAAAAAGAGATTGTTCCTCCTCTAAGCGTATTAACGTTTAATTGACACTAATAAGATTAACATCATCTGATACAAAGATTCATCGGCAGGTTACAGGCGCCTTTAAAGGACAATGTTGGTGTCAGCCATTATTACATATGTGATAGAACTGGTTAAATACGTTCCAAATATAATTTAAACACAGACATCATTGCTCGGTTGGTGCGCAATGAAGATTTGAAGAAACTGGAAGTGACGCAAAAAATGGAAAACACGAGTTATCCTTATATATAACTGACTGCAGTAACGAGCGGTAACAGTTACCCATCTATCGTAGCAATGATTTCTGTGTTAAAATTATATTTGGAATGTGTTCAAAAGCAGTTCTAACACATATGTAATAATGACTGACACCAATATTGTCCTTTACCATTTTGTCTAAGATATCGCTGCCTTACCACAGTTAATATAGACTTATAGTAAGATATAACTGTATACAATTTTGTAGGAAGTTTATATTAATTGTTTTAGATAACCGAGGACCAGTGTATGAATTTTATGTATAGAAATAAAATGAAATGGGGTTTGACGTCCCACCGATTTGCACCGACCATGTCTAGATACCGTTGTATTTTCAATCCGAAAGAGAACAGACGGGAACACCTCTGTTCGAATCCCTCGAATTAAACACAAAATTATTGGAAATATATATTACCAAAGACTGGTTTCAGTATTTAGATTAACAGGGAGTTCATTGTATTCCCATAACCCATATGACATTGGCGCTTACCTTATATATACTGACTTCCAACACCTTGACATGACGAACAATTGGTTTGGCGTGATCTTATTAAATGTACAAACGGGTTTTATTTACTTTAAAGATAAAAAGAGAAAATCAAGACAATTTATAGCAAATAAAAACTAGAATATTCGATAAAGTATTCTTTTTCTGACAGGCTTTAACGATTATTAATTTCTGAGCCAGTTTTTTTAGTCTTAGAAAATTCTGGAACAAAACATCATTCAATGCTTGTGCCTTTGTAGCTCTGCCGTCAAAACGTGTATGTTTGTTTACTAGAGACATTTCTAATCTTTGAATAATGCTATCTGTAAACATTTGCTGTTGCTGATTAATAGATATTAGGTTAATTAGATATGTATATAGCGTAAAAATTAATAATTAATAACTTTATAATTATTATGATTAAAAATCAGTAATCCATAGATGAAGAAGGATATCCACGAGAATATCACTATGCTCGCGATCAGTCGACAGATGATCTTTTCAGATTCATCGAACAAAGCGGGCCAAAAGGTAAAGTCGGGGTGCCTATACTAATATTCACCTCAGGGTATATTAAGAAAGTGCATTCATATTTTATTTATAAGGTCCGCTTAAAGAACGTGTCGAACATTTTAACTTAAGAGAAACAACAAACATGGAACAAGAAGCGTGTTAAAAATCCCCGACTTGAACAACTTGCTTTTATTTTTGGTCCTTTTGTTGCGGGATGTGTTTGGACATATGGCCATTTCCTTCCAGATGAATACAAGAATAAATCATAATTTGCGTCTCAAGGTAGTAAAGTTTGTAGTTTTAAATGATGTACTATTGTGCTAGGTGTGTTGTTTTAACCGATGTCAGACAGGCTACACGTTGCTTGTACATATATTGTATATAATTATGTATAATCTTTTCAGTATAAATTATAGATCGGCAGGATGAAAATATCGTATTTCTAAAACTATAAATTTGTGAATTCGTAAGTTTTTTGTTTTCTTAGTGCACTAAATATTTTATTTGTAGAATATAGACAGAAATATATCCATTTATCTCATAAAAGATAAGTTTCTGAATACATGCACTAATATTAGATAGTATGTATGTTAAGAAAAATACAAACGAAAACAAACTGCATGATAAACCCATTTCAAAGACAGGGGCTAAACAGTTCAGCAGTTACACCATTGATATGACTCCGCATCCCGAGTTCTATATTTCTAAATACGCCTGTTTTACAATTAAATAGTTTGTTTGCTGTCAAAATTCAAAGAGTTTTGTATTATTTTAGAAAATTAAGTCAATGTGATCGATTAAGAAAAGGTTTCTGCGAACAAATTTAATAGTTCAATGACGACAGAGGCAATAATCCTATGTCGGTAAACCTTTTAATCCTGTATCAAGACTTTGATCCCCATTTCTCTAACAATTCTTCGGTCCCAGTCCTTGGAGGATCTGTTTTACTTCTTAAGTTACGCCCTTTTACGTCCCCACTTTATGCCATTCCAATCTGGAGTGAGGGTATGAATATTATAGTTTTAACCTATTCAAAAACCGAGAGTTAAAATTCGCAACAGGCCAAAAGAAGTAGAAAGAAAATCTACAATACTTCATCGACGTATGCTTAAAAGGGTGCGGGAAGTGATGATATTATAAAAGATGTTTTATATGGAATTCCTAACTTTTGTTTCGTGTCAGAATCAGAACACTTAAATGCCATTATGGCACGAGAGATATATAAATGTATACTCTATATTCTATTAATTGTACGTGGTTTGAGTGTTTCAAAGGTTCGTCTCAATTTGGCCAGCATTAACAGGGTTGTTTATAAACTAAATAATTCGAGTGGTGGGTAGTCGTCCCTAATGGATTAATAGCTGTTAAATAAAGCACGTTCTAGCTATATACAATTTATAAAGTTAAATTAAAATCCCCCCTTCAAAATTTACATTGAAAATTTCTGAAAAGTATAATTACAAGTCGACTAGGCGGTGTTGGATTTATGAAGGGGTTTGTTGTATAAAAAGGGATTGTAAATTTTCTATTCTTTTCGCGAAACGAAGAAAACACATTTTTATAAAAATATAAAGCACATTGGAAAGTTTGAAATTTTTGTCTCGTTCAGGCGTAAAGCTCTCCGCTGTTTATATATTGGTTCTAATATTCTCATTTTCCTCAAGTCGTTGATGTATCTTTAAACGTGCCCGGTTATTTTATTAGTTCATTCACTCAGAAAAACAAACATATAAAATAGTATGGGACCGCGTGACAGATAACACTATTGAATTAGCTTGTTCTCGCGTACTGGTCCGTTAAATGGTTTTGTATTGCATTTTCAATGGAAGATTTCACACAGAATTAATGCATACCGGCATGAATTGACGAGACTCGGGTAGGGGGTTTGAAACTTAGTGATCATATATGTTTTTCTTTCTTCAAACTTGTCCTCGTTTGCTTTTTCACCTGACGAAGAGATTAGATCCACTTTCCAGGTACCCGGGGTTTTAAAAGGAAAGCAATCACCGGGATAGTTTGTTAAATATTCAAACTCACCACGGTTTAAATCTACACGATATCAATTATTCGCTTCACTTATCCAATCTTTCACGCGAATGGTGTTACACGGAATTTATTATGCATAATACTTTCGCGGAGGTATGATTTTCTTTAATAAGCTCCGCCCCTCCGAGCACAATTACTGTCTCTAGGCCAATCAGATCAATTCGCTCACGACAAACAAAAAACAAAATTTGAATCTAAATCACAGTCAATTAGAAAGCATAACGAAGTTCACATACATGCCACGGGATAGCTTCAAGATTAACCTGGGGGACACAGACACACGAATCTCATAATAACTCTCTTTAAACCCTCAAAACACGGACTCTTTCGCCGTTAGCAGACGACATTCTGGACGTAGTGGAAATAGTCCCGTAACCAGCCATTCCTCTATCTATAGCCTGTATTATATATCATAGTGCTGTAGTGATCAGAGGAATCATTTACAAATGTCGTTCATAGCTCTGGAGTCTCAAGGATGGCAGGTAAGACTGATTTATTCTTTTTCTCATTCTTCGTCATTTTGAAAGGTGTGATGTTCACACTGACAGCGGGTTCGTGTCGGAAAAACAATTTGGTTGAAACGTGACCTGGGGCAAAGAAGACCATGTATTATACCTACGCCATCTTATATCCCATTAAAAGTTTTTTTTTTCTTTCCCAAGGCCCCTCATATTTTACATACATTACCCACGGGTTGTGCTTCACCCCCAGGTGGCACACATATTGAGCCACATTGTAACTCTATCGCTGATCACTTTAGCGGTAAGTGACGGGTGGAAGGATTTCAAGAGATAAGTGTTACTACACAACTGACTATCGACGTTTTAACGGATAACTCACGCAGTGCTATAGTTGATGTGCATTCTTTATTGAAAGTATTCTTGGAGAATACTCGATATATTTTAACACCGTAGATGGAACAATAGATATTATGAGACTTTATGTTAGCTATTGTTTACAAATCGACGTAGGCAGGTAAATGATAAATCATGCAATACAATAATTGCAAAAAAATCCGATATTTTGTTTTCAGTCTTTGAGGGGAATTTTCAAGTCGTCAGTGGCTTATGGTAGAACAAAAAATGTGAAATATATTGATAATGAATATATAGAAATATAAATCTTAGAGAAAATATGTTATTAATTTATCTGAATTTTAGTTCTTATTAATTATTTTGTATCAAAGTTTCTTGTTCGTCATCAAATTACATTATTGTAGAAGTTCAAATTTCATTGGGAAATTTATTAGAATCGTAAAAATCTGAATTCGTATTTTTCTTATGTTGCGAAAGTATTGTTTTGAAAATATTATTTTAATCTATGTAATACACATCACATAAATGCTTGTTCTGCATGAATAATTCAATGGCATTTGATGAAAAATATTAACTTAAATTCATACAAAATGATGGCAAACATCGCGCTGATCAATATTATTTTAAGTAGTGACAATTAAGTGAAAACTTTATGTAAAAATTTGACAATGTCGGACAGATTTGACCTGTTTTGAATCTGATAGTAGTCAAGTGAAGTACGTCGCCCAATTTTCCCATAGTGTCCATTATTTATATAGCCTTAGGTAAAATCTCGCTAAATTCTTCTTTACTCTCCACTTTGCTACCGACTTTTATTTTCTTCGTCGAGTCACTGAAAAAGATTAAAGTTTTCTTTTGTAGTACGACAGGGGCGAGAGAATGAACTTCTTGGCGGGGGATAGTTTATAATTGCTCTGAACAAGTCCTAAGATGTTTTGAAAAGTTTGGGAGACATTTTACAAGCGCTCCTTCATTTGTGCACATTTGCTGAAATTCCCATAATCCGTATTAATGAAGTCAATTTTTGACACTTTAGAAATCAATCGGCAGAATGAACAGTTTCTTGATTCACGACAGAAAAAAATATAATGAAAAACTAATACTTGAAAGTAGAAAATACAAGAACAATATAAAAACCTGAACATTACTTGTACCTTTATTCAAATTTATTTGAATAACATAAGCACATATACAAATCATCTTTAATAATAATAATTATTCAAAATTATTTAAAAAATAATTAATAAAAAGGAATTTCGGTGCTATGGCCTATATAATATCACACCGTAATAATATTGATAATTTTTTTTAGACATTCAGGGGTATGTTTAATTATTCATTTTTTACTGGCATTGTATGTGACTTGTATTGAATAATTGTGTACACACACTATTCAATGTGAATGAGTGACAATTAAGAACACACTTTTATTGAAAATATTTGACGCGATGCAGTGCTCTTTTCACATTTTGACTCATGGGATGTTTATCTGTACAAAACATCTATTATACATAAATTTTAAGATAAAGTATAGGATTATCAAAATAATATTTATCTCTTTTTTTTTATTTCATGACTGATTTGATAATGTCATATTTATTAATGGATGCTAACTGTTCTATATTTATTGTGACTTGACAGTTTCAGGGGTGAAACGTTTACTGGATTTGCTAAGATAAAAGTCTAATACATATTTTTATTGTTTTCATTACTCTGTTAAAAACTTTTAATATAGAATTTCTACGTTGAGATGTAGTGAATGTTGTAGTGATGTATTCAATTTTATAGAGAAAGGCGTGTCTTAAAGAATAAGTACACCCGTCTTGTTTATGCGAATATTCACTTCTTGTATATAAATTAAATATAATAAATATAATACGACATACAGATATACCTATCTGAAAAGGCATTAATAATTAAGTACATATTATAAATAGGATTTAACAAGAACATAATATCATAATGTGACATAGAATATTATACAAATGCATGCAATTATATGAGACCGGAACAATTTTTGTAAGAGTTAAGTTACTATAATTATAGTCTACTCTTTAGCCGTAAATCTTGTTGGAATTCCAGTGACATAAATGTCATTTATTTACCATGGGTACATGCTCAAAACCTGCTTTTTGACAGGATATGCAATAAATGACAAACTTAATCCACAGATAATAAATGTTGTTTTTAAAAAATTAAGAAAACCCCCCAACAAATTTATTGATTAGATTAACATTTTAAATAGAATATATAACAAAAATGTTTTGTTTTATTAAATATAAAATATATAACAAATTAATTAATAATATAATTGTTATATTTCTTTATTATTTAATCAGTTAATTTAGGCTCAGATTTGTAAATTTATAAGGTTGTTTTAAAAATAAGAAAATTTAAATTTCATGAACTAACATCAAATAAACAATTTGTCCTAGAAAATACAAGTTTTTGATGGATCGCATACCAGGTACAAAGGTTATATTCCATAGACTTTTGAACGCGTGTTACTATAATTAGATATGTTACTTTAAATAAACGTGATATATCAAGCTCTTTGTTTTCAATTGTTATGAGTAAAAATGATGTCAGTAATAGTTGTACATGCTTTAACAATTTCTCTCCATCTAATCTGATTTCAATCCTTTTATTCTTTACCTTAATAACATTAGCGTCAATTTTCCATGACAACCCCCGACAATTACCCCGATAATATCAACAGTTTGTGTATTATAATTGTGTATCATTCGCCGTGATAAAAATCATACGCGCACTTCCTTTTTTGTCACATAAAAAACGCGTATTTCGTTTTTTTCTTTGGGAGGCTTTCAAAAAGAGATTTCTTTAAAATTCGGGACCCTGGTTCATTTAACGAAACGAAAAACTAGTCAGCACATAGAGTCCTATCTTTCTACTCATCCGTTCTGCAATTGACAAGTTATAATCAACGTCTAAACGACTTTCTGTCATTTTAACAAAAGCTAAACAGCTCAAGTACACGACACTTTTCAACATATCACATTTTGAGTGGCAGTACAGGCCGATGATACACCTTATACAAAGCCACCGCCGTTAAGGGACAAGTGAGAATTCATAATATGAAATGCTGGCTATGAAAAGCTCGGGCATGTTCATTTCACGTTGGTTTTCATAAAATTCTATTAAGGTTCTATTGTACTTTATAATGTTAAACATCCGATGTTAATTTAACAATAATATAAACTCCAATATGGATAGCCCTTTGAAATAAATGAGTTAATTGTTCTGAAGAATTCGGTCCAATTTTATTTGTTTTCGCCAACCTGTATTTATGGTATTATATTACTGTTGTTAATTAAACCAGGGGCGCTATTATTTTCAAGTGATATACACACGTTTATTTTACCTGAAAGGCATATTACTTTCTATTTTGGAGGATTCCTTGATTATGGTGTTCAAGTATATAAAGATATATTCAGTGTTTAAACATGTAGATATCAAACTCTGGCCGTTGCTATTTAAATTCGATCTGCAAGCTTTAAAGGTAATTATTGTAAAATGTTACATGAATAAACAATGTGAAATATGAGTATCTACATAGCACTCGAATTTTAGCCGTCACGACCTGGAGATTAGTTGCTGGAACTTGATGAGATTAAATACAATATAAACAAAACAAGTAAGTCAACAGATGGACAATTATACGCTACAAAAAACAAATAACTCAACAAACATAATATCCATAGGCATACAAAAAAAGCAAACATAACAGTTGGACAAATAACATATTACTATCCATGCGCATACAAAAAAACCCCAAACAACTCAACAGTTGCACACTAACATGATATCCATACCCACGCGCATGCACAAAAACAAATAACTCTACATAATATCCATACGCATACAAAAACAAATAACTCAACAGTCGCACATAAAATATAATATCCATATCCAACACAAAACGTATAACGCCATCTTTCTGAAAACGAATTGGCTTTAAGATATATGTTGAGCAGACAGGATGAACGCTTGGAACAGGTAGATCATTTTGTGCTTTGTCAGCTAGTAACGATGGTCGTTTGATGTTTAGTATGGTAAGTGGTACTTCCATCACCCTTGCAATACAACTTAGATACGTTGAGTATTGTGGAAGAATCATACGACAAGTTATTCTATTTGTCTGGTAACTATACTTAGTTTAACAAGTGTCTACAGAAAATGTCATCTGCTTAGTTCATCGTCGCCATTGGAAGAAAGGACACATGTTTGGTGAACCAACTTTCTCATTTTTTCATCTTTTCATTTTCCGACATTACTTTTTTATTTACTGAGGCGAAGTAAGGTTGAATAAGACCGAGTCAGCCCAATATGTGTTCCCGGCCTTCTGTCCAAACAAATCCCTTCACGGCTCTTAATAGAAATATTTTGTACAAACCGTCTTGAATAGAAAGTGCCCAACCTAGAACATAGCCTATAACAACATGTTTTATTATAGAGAAACCAGCTGATGATAGGAAAGATCAAAATCTAAACTACAAAAAAACTCATTTCTTGGCGCCTTCAGAATCTTCGCGGATACGAAGACATCTGTGGCGGTTTATAGAAACTAAATAGCAGTTTATTTTTGAATTTCCCTTTGAACTTCAATTGACTTAAATAAAAGTTATACATCTTTAGCACCACTTTCA